TCTCTGGTCTCTGGAAGAGAAGCTGCTGGGCATGTCTGAATGAGCACTGCCTCTACATGCCCAAAGAGTAGAGGATGCCACCCCCCCACCCCCACCTGAGGGCCATGCCCCTCCCTTCTCAGCCATTCATTGCGCAGATGGACACGGGGGGGGGGGGGCCGCTCTGGGTGCTGAGACTGCACAGAGCCGGGCTTGCAGAGACAATGAGAGCGTGTGGCCATGTCTCCCGGCTTCTAGTACCTCTTGCTGGCCTGGAGAGCTGATTTCTCATAAGATCTCTGGCCACCCTCCACTCCCCGACATCCCAGCTCGTCCAAGGCCCTTGGGCAACGACTCTCCTTCGGCTGGCTGGAGCCGGGGAAAGAGCACACGGTACCCAATGCTCTGGGCCTGGCGTGGGGCTCCCAGTATATGGTGTCCGACCAACACTGTCCAGCCCTGAAGAGTGTATGACCATGGAGCTCATCAGCTTGTGACCAGTTATGGCCAGCTGGGCAGAAACCCACGGCTCAGTCAACCCCCTTGCCCTCACCTCCCATATAATCCAGATACAGCCAGGTACTCGTCCTCAGTGCCATCGCCCTCTGCCCTGCTGGGTGCCAGGATGCAGCATGTGTCTGCGTCCTGCCCTCCTGGTCATCTTCTGGCCTCATGCCAGCTCACGGCCATACACCTTGACACTCAGGCAACAGCAAGGGGCCCGGCCGGCGTCACTGCCTCCCGTCTAACCCGCCCCGGGGATGCCTTCCATAAGTGTGCTCGCGTGTGTGCGAATCTAAGTGTGCGTGCACATGGAGCCTAGACATCAGAGAACTCCAGGGACCGCCTGTCTCTGCTTCCCCAGCACTGGGGTTAAAAGCGCACACCGTCACACCTGACTTTCTCTGGGCACCAGGGGTCGAGTTCAGGTATTTGCCCGCTGGGTCACTTCCCCCCCATTCTGTGCTCTGAGCCCCAGGAGGTCTCTGGGACTTTCCCAAGTCACAGCTCCAGGGGCCTCCTTAGGCTCAGGCTTCCCCCAGCACCACCCGACTACACGAGAAGAGCTTGGGTTCCTCAGGAATGTGACCCTGAAACAGCTATCCTCCGCTCCGGGTTAGTTTTTCCCAGAACTGTTCCAGTCTGCAAGAGAAATGACTAGGGAAACCGCAGGCAGCCGTCAGCTTGTCAAATCCCGGGTCCTTTTCCTGGAACTTTCCATGTGAATGTAAACATATTGCTTTCTCACTAGGGTTGTTAGCAGCAGAGGCCGGGACTGCACTCCAGACTGCTCCCAGCAGGGGGCAGTGGAGCAACCACTGCACGCTGAGCCCCAGAGCCCCACCAGGCACCTTGCTGTCCTCTAGGTGTCCACGTTAGTGAGCTTGTCGATCCATGCAAGGAGATAAAAGTTTCTACCCTCTCCCAAGTGCTCTATGACAGGCCCCACCGAGGCCACTAAACCCAAAACTAAAGCCATGCTGTCCAAACTGGAGGCCGCCTCCTTTGCTCGTTTGTCTCAGAAGTGCACTATCCCCAGTGCCCATGAACCCTATACTTGGCATTGAGGATGGATATGTCGGTGCCCAGGAGCTTTCTTTCCCATCTGCCTTGCTCACCAAGGGATAGTAGGGGTGTGGTCAGCTACAAGGCTTCATGGAACAGGGGCAGATTCCCTCACACATGCCCGAGCCCACAGTACCTGGGCCCCATAGGCTCCCTTTGCTCCTGAGCTGTGTGCAAGGCCCCACACCGTGCCTTGAGTGCTCTTCCCTGTGAGCAGATGAGGGTATCTGAGGACAGGGCACCTGGCACTGGGTACCTGCTGGGCACACAAGGGTCCACATGGCAGGCAGGGCTGCTCGGGGAGATTCTTGGAAGTTAGTTTCTGGGCCCAAGATTTTTGGAAGCTATGCACAACTCATGAGTTCCCAACAGGAAGCCTCAGCACCGTGCAGACTGGTCGGTCATTACAGCACTTGGGAGGTGCAGTCAGGTGGCTACATTAGAGGGGGAGGAGGGAAGGCAGGGGGAGGGGAGGGAGGGGTGATGGAGGGGAAGATGCACTGGCCCTCGGTGAGCACTTAAAAGGCACTGCTGTGCATGCCCCAGCTCCTGCAGATACATCGGAGAAAGTGAAGAAGTCTTGTCAGCACTATCTCCCTGCACAGCATGTCAGCCTGTCATCTCTGCGACCTTCCCCAGCTGCCCCTTGATCCCAGAAACCACCTCTGGCCAGACAGTAGTGGTGCATGCCTTTAATCCCAGCACTCGGGAGGCAGAGGCAGGAGTTTGAGGCCAGCCTGGTCTACAGAGCGAGTTCCAGGGCAGCCAGGGCTACACAGAAAAACCCTGTCTCAAACAAAAACAAAACAAAACAAAAGCAAGGAAACCACTTCCCCAGCTGCGGCACACACCTCTACCTTCTCTGCAAGGGCCACCAGCTAGCTTTGTAGCCACTGCCACCTGGTGGCCGGGATCAGAATTCTGTTGTCATGGACCAGTGGCCAAGCCCCAGTAAGGGGACCTTGGAGTGCCCTCGGGATGGCAGGCATAGCTCCACGTCCCTCGCTGAGTCACACAGGCTTCTCGTGGGCCGGTGAAATGGCCCCGTGGATAAAGTGCCTGCTTTGCCAGGGTGAGGACCAGAGTTCGGATCCCCAGAACCTGTGTAAATGCTATATGTGTGTGGAGGCCACATGACACCAGCACATATGAGGTGGAAACAGAACCTCTGTGGTTAGCTGGGTTCAGCTCAGCGAGAGATCCTGCCTCAGAGTCTAAAGAGGAGAGCAACGGAGAGACACTTTTATCAACCCTGGGCCTCTACCCATAAACGCCCCCCCCCCAAAAGCCAAAACCAACTAACCTCATTGTTTTCTGAACTCCCCCTTGGGGTTCACCAGACCCAAATTGCAGGGCAGGAGCTCCTAAGAACAGTGTCCACCAGGGCCAGAGCATGAGGGCAGGCGTAGCGTCAGGGTGGTGGAGAGAAACCGCAGGGAGGAGTGTTAGCAGTGGGCACCCGGCTCCCCAGCAGAGTCCTCACTTTCACAAGTATGAGCAAGTCCCCTCTCAGTACCAAGGGACCTTCTTCTGAAGAGTCTACCCACCCACCCACCCACTCATCCATCCATCCATCCATCCATCCATCCATCCATCCATCCATCCATCCATCCATCCATCCATCCATCCATCCATCCAGTTAAACAGTCACAGAGCCAGTGACCGTGGCCTAGTAACAAGGGAAGCTGGGATGTCCGAGCTGACTTGGGGGTCCACAGTGCAGTTTCTGCAGTACGGATCCCTGATAACGTCAAAATACAGTCACGTTGGGTAAAAGACAGAGAAGCAGGGTCCAGAACTTCAGCTGCCTCGTCAGAAAGGAGCCCAACTGAAGGGAATCTGGGAAGGGTCAATTTCCAATACTGAGAGAGCAAAGGGGCAGACATCTGAAGCAGAAAGAGCCCAGAGAGGGCGGGCATGGGCTCCTGAGCCAGCAAGGGTCATGTGCGCCAGGCGATGGTGGCATGTCTTTAATACCAGCACGTGGGAGGCAGAAGCAGGTGGATCTCAGTGAGTTTGAGGCCCTTCTGGTCTACAAAGCAACGTCCAAGGCAGCCAGGACTGTTACACAGAGTTTCATTTATGTTTGACCAAATAGCATTCCACTGACCACACATATATACAGTGCACACACGTGTATGTCCTCTTGTTAGCAAATGAGCACTGTGGCTATTGTGATGTCCTATAAACACAGGTGTTTGAGGGTACTGCTTTTCTCTCCATTGCTTATACGTCCAGTATTGGGGCCGTGGGGTCACAGAGCAGTCAAGACACTCGTGTCTTGCATTTAAGTCTGGTGCTTCTTTTTCATACGCCTATGCTCAGTAAGAAAGTTTACAGCAGCTGTCACCTGGGTCCCAGGCACACACTGCTCACTCCGCATCCCCAGCTACCTGACTTCGATCATACAGGCAAGACCCAAGATCAGCTGCCTGGCCTCCCTTGCTGGCCTGCAAGTTCATCCCTGCACAGGTCAGTCCCGAAGCTGCTGAGCAGGACCAGAACTGCATGCCACTCAATGCCTTCCCCTACCTCCAGTGAGCAGCACCTGACCCATCCACGTCCAGTCCTTTCCTCCCTGGCAGGCAGCTCACCAGTACACTCTTCGGGCTGGTCTCGTTCCACTTCCTGAAATGTCTACAAAACCATGGCTTTATAGAGAAATGTTTAGGGGAAAATGTCCCCGGTCCTCAGAAGCCACAGCAGAGCTAGGCAGTGTTGGCACACGCCTTTAATCCCAGCACACAGGAAACAGAGGCAGGCAGATCTCAGAGTTCGAGGCCAGCCTGGTCTACAGAGCGAATTCCAGGACAGCCAGGGCTGAACAGTGAAATGCTGTCTTGGAAAAACAAAAACAAAAAGCCACCGCTGGAATCCACTAGGAGCCCTGGCCTCTGACGGCCACTTAGCGGTTATCCAGTGCAGAGTCTCTGTGGGAAGACTACAGCAGCGGGGCTCTCAACCTTCCTAAAGCTGGGATCCTTTAATACAGCTCCTCATGTTGTGGTGACCCCAACCATGAAAGTACTTTGCTGCTACTTCATAACTGTAATTCTGCTAGTGCTATGAAGGGTACCGTTAAGTAGATATCCGATGTTTCGCTCGTGAAAGGTCACTTGACCCCCCAAGGGGATTGCGGGTTGAGAACTGCGGCACTACAGGGTCTCCAGCACCTTGAACCTGGGTCGATTCTGGAGAAGATGGCTCCAACAGCTGCTCAGCAGGAAGGGGACTCTCCCCATACCCTAGGGGTGGTGTAGGTGGAGTGGTGGATGTGGGTGGCAACCCTGGTTTCAGAGAGCAAGGGGGTTTGCGGAAGCAGCTCTTCCCAGACAGCACAGACCCATTCCAGAAACTGCTCTGGGAGGTTAAATAGGAGCAGCAGCCTCCCCGGCTGTCTGCAGCACCCACCACACTCCAGAATGAGACAGTGCACCGACCAACACACAAGGTTCTGTAGTGTAGCTTGGTTTTATTTATGTTCACAAATATTTCAAAAAAATTACAAAATACTCAAATGGAGAGAACACAGAAGTCACGATTTTCTGGGTGTCTACTGTTTACACTGTGTTATCTCATGGCAAACTACTCATATGTACACTTAGCTCCGAGATCTAAAGAAATGCAGCGATCAGAATGTCCGCTCGCTCCACTGCAGTGAGACGTGACGCTCAACCTTGACGACACTGAACAAGATACATACAGAACACAGAAAGCAAACCCAACTTCAAATGAAAGGAAGGAAAATCCAAAAGGAAGCCAAGCAGCCGGGCTTCAAAGATGCCATGAAAGTCCAGGGCCTCCGAACAAACCAGTCGGTCACGGAGGACATGAACTTAGCGCTTCACCTTGGGACAGGGGAGAAACCCAAAACTAACAAAGAAACACTTCCGGACAGATTTCAAGTTCAGACTTCAAAGTACTTCACTCGTTCTCTTTGGAAACTGGGTACTAGAGAGGGGATAAAGGCTTAACTGAAAGGCAGACTCCGTTAAAGGGGGGAAGGAGGAGGTGACATGGGACAGCAAGAACCTGCCTGGGCAGAGCTCATGAGGAAGAGGGTTTCCTCAGTCCAGGGCAGGAGACCATCTGGAGAGCATGTCACCACCCCCAGGAGAAAACAAATGCCTTCATGCCATGGTGGCCAGAAGTTTGATAACGAAAGGTTAACTTGAGCTCGCCTCCTATGAAGAACCAAAGTTAAGGCAGAAGGAATGAGAAAAATAAAGTTAAAAAAAATAAAAACAAAAAACCCTACAAACATGTTCAACAGACAAATGGATCCTAGCTGCCTCATGTCGGGGAGCATGAGGCCCTGGCGCACCTGAGTCAGAGCCTGGGGCAGGGTGAATGCCAGGTTAACAGCGAGCCTCTCCTCTCCACAGGGCCAAGACACACCTTGTGACTGGCTGGCTGTTCCTATATGCAGCCACTGCATATGAGAGTAGAAATGGCCCTCAGAGCCCAAGAGAGGAGTCACACAGGCATGTCACACTTGGCTCTGGAGGGAAAAGTGTCCCATCAGTGGCAGTCAGCTCTGCCCAGGACTGTTCCCCAAGGGCCTGCTGGAGAGGGCTTTCCCAGGGGAGCCTGCTCCAACGACGACTCCCAATCCTTTTCCAGGAGGAAACACAGGACACACAGAGGATGCAGATCACCTATACAGCCTACTGCATAGCCCAAACCACAGGCCAAACCTACATCACGTTAACCCCAGGGTGTCCCTCACTCTGAAGCAGCCTCGCTGTGGCAGGCATGGTTTGGTGACACGCACAGTCACAGGTTTCTAACGCTCCTTGGGCAAGCATATGCCCTGGGTCTTTCATGTGCCGTGCACCATGTCATTTCTTGAACTCCCTAAACTGCTTATGACAATTTATCTAGAACAATCAAACATGTGCATACAACTCTAAGGAAACTTATCTTCAGACACATACAAGTAAACATGCGCTTTCTATACCAAAGACAGGACGACGGGGACACCAGGGAACACAAAGTCAACACTAAACTCCTATGAATAAGGAAGGAGGCTCGCTCAAACAGGCCTGCCACTGCACATGCGAGGGACAGACAGAAGCAAAATCAAAGCAGCAAAGTAAAAGAGCCTGTAACACTGTCCCTGCCAACTCCTGGATGCTCACTGCTATGACCAAACCTAGCCCCAAGCTCCTGCCTGCTTGAAACTAGAAACGCCCATCTGTTCCCTTTAATTAAAGGGATAATTATATATAACTTTTTATTAAAAAATCAACTCTGTATTCTGTCAATAGCTGGTAGGAATTCACACTTTGTGACATGGCTGGAAAAAATAGATCAGAATAGTCGTCTGTGGAAGGAAAAAAAAGGCTTCTAAAATTATTTATTTACAGATGTAAAAAGCCATGCTGCAGAACGGTCTCAAATTATGAAGATCCCCTACAATGTATTAAAATAAAAGATTTTTTAAAAATTATAGCTCTTGGATTTCAAACTCATATGCCGCCTCTCTGCAAACCTCGTGGGTTCCAGAGCCCACGTGCCTCAGTGTCTGCGCGCACAGTGAAGGGTGTGAACGGACTCCAGCACCTACTGAGAAATCAAGGAAAAGAACTAAAGCCAAACCCCAAGATCGCAGGGAAGTTTTCTGGGTGTCAGTCCAGCCCAGGACACATCAAGTTTCTGGGGGACTGTCATGCAGGGAGACCCAAATAGGTCTCAGGAAATCCTCTCAACAAACGAACACTATTATGCAGATGTGTTTTTAGTTGTGGGTTTTAAATATATAGAGAAATCTTTAGACGATATTCCTCTTTGCTCTTGCAGCTCCTACTGGATGTAAAGTCCTGTTTCTGCCCCCTAGAACTGGGGTTTCCACAGCCAGCATTAACAAATAAATAACTTATAACTGCTTGTCACCTTCTTTCTTCAGTCGACTGGTGGGGGAAGGGGAGAAACAAGAGAATGTGTATCAGGGTGTGCTAGGTGACAGGGACATGGCACCCTACAGGCTACAGGCAAAGGCTGGTCCATGGTTTGCTTGTGAGTTACACCCCACTCCCCCCACACCCTCACAGCCTCTCATCCAGCCAGGTCATGCCTCTGGGAAGGGTCAGCGGGGGCGGGGTGGGGTGAGGAGCCTGCCCCTCTCACCTCACCTGTAATAGTCTTCCTGACTTGGCAGGTGGCCACCGTGCATGTGCGGGTGGCCATGCAGCCACTGCTGCTCCATGGCCAGTCTCTGTAGCTCGGCTGACTGGGCATGCATGGCCTGAAGCTGGTGGGCTGCTGACATGGGGGGTGGGATAGCCCCAGGCAGGTCTCGGGGATAGGGAGTGCCTGCCAAGCACAAAACACGCTCTGCTACAAAAACAAGTCAAGGGGGTAGCCATGACAAGGGCAACCAAGACAGACACGAGGAAGAAGGTCAGACAGAGCCTACTCTGCAGTGTGCTAACCTAGCTGAGGAAGCGGGCCGGCCCTTCTGAGGCTCTAGGGGCAGGACAAGCTCAGCAGAGTCCTCAGGCAGGAAGGAGCCCATTCCAGAGGTCCCTGGGCCTCACACCCAGATCTCAGTCTGGGCTCCCGCTAGGCTGGTTTGCTGCGCATTTATGGCCTCCCTACTTCAAGCCTCCCCAGAAGTCCACCCACCTGGTCCCCACCTGTGTGCATTTGGTATACGAAGGATGCTGATCTGACTCAACCCCAACTTCCACTTGAAAGCCCATGTCCTCCTCCCCCAGTGAATTCTTACCGAAAACTGGGTGGCGCAGCATCTCGTGCTCATGGGGGGGCTGTCCAAGAAGAGGGTTGGGGAGGGTGCCAGGAGGGTAGGGAAAGCGAGCCAAATGAGGACCAGCGGTCAGGGGGTCCACCAAAGGGTGAACTGGGCCTGCTGAACCTGAAAAACCACAGGTCCAAATGTAGCTGGCACACGACTCTGGTACGCCTTCCTTGCTGCACAACCCAGTCACTCCCCTTGCACACGTGCACGCCCGCCACTGGGGAGAAGAGCAAGGCAGAGCAGTGCAGCGCTCAGCCTTGATGGACCAGTTCCTGCTCCACACCCGAGGCCACGCCGCGCAGGCACTCTGCCTCATCTGTGCAGCTCAGGCGGCACAGCCTTCTCCCTCAGCCCCCTCTTCACAACAGCACACCAATCAGCCCACCCATGTGCTCGTCCTGAGCAGTCCTGTCCTGGGTACCTGCTGGGCCCTCCACCTCAGGCCCTCCAGAGGCGTGCTGGCTTATCCTCCCCTTGGGGTCCTGCTGCAGTAGCCCTCTCTTCTCACCTTTTGGTCTCGCTGCCTCCCCAGGAGCACAGCCAGCCGCCCTTTGAAGGGCGTGGTACCCACTGTGCCCGCCTCTGCCCCAGCCCACCGATGCCAGGAGAGTGGAGCTTCAGAGCTGCACTTTGCCTGGCCATCACTTCAAAGTCAGTAGACGCAATGCCTTCCCCAAGGCCCACAACAGGACATTTTGGCTTCCTTGGGTAGCCCAGGACCTATATATACCTAGACCTTGCTTTACTCTAATGGCCACAAGAGCCCCAATCTGCTGTCCCTCACCCAGGGCCCAGGGCCAGGCTTCCCCCAGGCCAGCAGCTTGCTGAGACTCTAACCCTGAGTTGCGGATGGAGGCTGCCTGCGCAGTGGCCCCTGAGCGGGTACACACCTTGGTGGAGAGGGTCCTGCTGGTGGAGGTGGAGGTGGGAGTGGATGTGGGAATGCTGGTGATGGTGTGGAGTTACGTTAAACATCTGCAGCCGTGCCAGGGGGTCGCTGCTAAGAGAGGCCATGCGCTCGGCATGGATGCGCTCGGCCGCCAGTCTGTCTGGGTAGCTCATCTCAGGCCGCAGCTGAGGACCTGCCAGTGCCAGTCTCTCCCGCTCCAAAGGGTTCAAACCCGGGTGGAAAGAGGCAAAGGGGTGGGGGCCAGCTGCAGGAGGGATGGTGAGGGCGCTGTGCCGGGCAAAATGCTCCATGGGGTTGGTGGCCGGGTGCAGGGGGTCCAGCTCTGGTGGCTTCACCTCAAAGCCTGGCTTCATCCTCTCCCGCAATTCCCGCTCCCGGATCTCCCGCTCCCGGATCTCTCGCTCTCTGAGCTCCCGCTCCCGGATGGTGGGGTCAACATTGTAGAGACCGGGCATGTGGTAGGCCAGCAGGGGGTCAGTGGGATTAAGGGGCATGTAGAAGGGGTGGTTGCGGTTGGTGGGAGACATGACATGGGGCCGAGCGTACTCGCTCAGTGTCCGGAGGGCCGGTGTGTCAGGCCCAATGTATGGGGGCACAGCAGCAATTGTGGTCGGTGGTGGCTCGAAGGAGGGTCGCATGTGACCAGGACCACTGAGCTGAGGGTCACTAAGACGGCCTTCGTGTGCTGAGCTGGATGCCTTCTGCTCAAGAAAAGAGAGAATGAGGACGGGTGCCAGCCACCTGGGCCTAAGACTGGTGCTCAGCCCAGAGGTAGGCCCTTGTCCTGCTGCAGTGTCAAACCTTTACCCCAGCACAGAACAGGGCACCTTAGCCAGGGCCAGGCCCCAGGACAGTCTAGACCCTACTACAACACTCTGGTCTGTGCCTGCCTGCAGCCAGGAAACCTACCATCAAGTCTTGCACCACTTTGGGGTTTGGCTTCCCTCAAGCAGGCACCAGATACCCTAGTGCACAAGCTTCACAGCAGGACACCCCTCCTTGCACAGCACCCCCTCCCGCTCTGACACCTGGGGATTATGCGTGAGGCATGCGTCTATAGGCCACAGGGAAAGGTCAGGCCCATCAGTCAGGCTTACTGCCTTCAGAAAGCTTGGGCATGGGTGCCACTGGACCCAGAGAACACACCAACAGTCTGGGACAGACCCTTGTCATCATGCCCTGGCTGAAGCCACTGCCCCTGTATGTCAGGCCTTCAGGACTCACAGCAGCTCGCTCTGCCTCCCGTTCCCGCTCTCTCTCTCGCTCTCGCTCTTTCTCCTTCTCTTTCTCCCGTTCCCGTTCCTCTCGGGCCTTCTGTTCGGCCTCACGCTTGGCCTTCTCAATGGCCTCCTCCCTCTTCTTGGCTAGTTTGGATCCAGCCAGAGGCATGAAGTACAGGTCTGTCCGTGCACACGAGTTGTAGCCACGGTCCAGGTGTTTGTAGAACCTAGAGATGTGGCAGCTTGGGCTTCTCTTCCGAGGGTCACCCACACCCTTCCTCACCTCCACCAAACGCAGCCACACCCGGCCAGGCCCACCCCCCACTGACGCAGTACCTGGCAGACTGGCTGGCATGGCTGGGGGCGTCCACTATAGTGGGCTCCGGGGATGGGCTCCTGGGGGGTGGGGGAGGGCTCTCTGGCTCCTCTGCTTCATCCGGGGCCTCCTCTTTGATCTGCACAGCAGGGAGTGGGCAAGATGGCGCCCCTGGAACACCTCCTCCAGAAGAGCCAGCAGGACAGGGCGGCTGTGAGGAGGTGCTGGGCCCGGAAGGTGGGGTGGAAGTGGAGGGGCAGGTGGGCGGGGTGACGGGAGGAGGGCCTCCAGGTACAAAAGGGTGCTGGGGGAATGGGGGCTGGGAGGGCACCTGGTGGAGGCCAGTGGGGGGATGGGCAGGAGCAGGGGGTGGTAGGTTCTGGCTCTGGGTCAGCCCAGGGGGCTGGGCAGGGGAGGAGGGCAAGGGCTGGCTCTGGGGCATGAGCTGCAGGGGTGGAGGGTGGGCAGAAGGAGGGTGGTGTGTGGACAGGGAGCTGAGGGGCTTCAGGGCTGGCGGCGGTGGCAGATTGGCGTTCATGGAGAAGGGGGAGGGCCCTGAGAGGTGGGGTGGGTGCTTGTGGGCCTGTGGTGCTGGGAGCTGGGGAATCGGTGTGGTGGGCGGGGGTTTGATGTGAGGCATGGCTAAGGGTGCAGGAGGCAGGGGCTGCTCCCTTGGGGGCTGTTGGGGCTGCAGTGCTGACTGGGAGGCTGCAAGCTGTACGGTGGTGTGAGGATGAGCTGCTGGGGAGGGGCCCAGAGGGCCCTGGCCTTGGGAGGCCTGGGGAGGGAGTCCAAAGGGCTGAGGCGGCCCTGGGTGTTGTAGCAGGGGTCCAGCCTGCAGGCTGTGAGGGCCAGGTGGGCCCTGACCATGCAGGGAGGGCTGGGTGTGAGGCTGTGCGGTGTTCTGGCTGGGGGGTGCAGTCAGAGGCTGCAGTGGAGCATGGGGTGAGGGGAGCCGCGGTGGGTGCAGGGTGGGTGCCTGCTGGATGTGAGTGTGGGCTGCAGGTGCTACTGCAGATTGAGTCTGGTTAGGGGGCTGTGAGGTTGCAGGGGAGCCCTGTGGAGGGACTGCAGTGGCAGAGGGTGTGGGCCCTGGGGCAGGAAGCTGGGGTGCTCCTGGAGGGGCAGAGGGAGCTGAGGCAGCCCCACTGGGAGCCTGCAGGGAGGGGGGCTGGGCCTGCAGTGTCTGCTGCTGTGCTGATGAGTCCGAGTCACTCTCATTGTCCTGAGGACTGGGGATACTGGGGGACGTGCTGCGATTGTCCTGGTCGATGTCTTTCGGGTCACTGCTGCCCTCATCATTGACACTGCGACTGTCCGAACTCTCCCCCTCGCCTTCAGAGGGAGAGTTGGGGCGGCTGATCTCCTAAAGCCAGAGAAAGGAGACATGAAAGCACCAGGAAGCAGGGCTCAGCCCACGCGGCTGGCATGGAGCACAAGCGGGCCGTGCAGACTCTAGCTGCAGTTAGGCACTGCCTTCCTTCCGGTCACCTGAGACTGTGTGGTGGCTGGGGGGCGGGTGTCACAGGAGCCTCACCTGGGTCTTTGTCTTTTTGGAGGTGGTCCTATCAGGCTCCTCCGTGTCCGAGGCCACCTTCTCCCGCTGACGCTTGGCGCTCTTCAGAGGGGAAGCAGACTCTTCTTTCGCCTTCTGCAGGTAGAGGCAGAGAAGTGAAGGTTTGTGAATACACTTCCTCATTCTGCGCCCCATCTCCACACACAAGAATGTTCTCCAAGGGGGCAGCTGTCTAGGGATGGGAGTTCTTGGCTTTAGGAGTCTTTCCAGCCACTGGCATCCATCTGCAGCCCCTAATGTCACTGTCCAATGGGAGGGAGGGAGCACGAAGCTCCCACTGCACCCTCAGCCCCTGACCTTGGCTGACTTCTTCACGGACTCTGCTTTGCTGTCATTGCTGGAGGTGCTAGCAGCACTGGGGGAGTTCCGGCCACTGGACCGGATGTCTTCATTGATGGGTGAGGCACGGCCATCAGGACTGGCGGGCTGCTTCTTCCGACCACTGCGTAGTGTAGACATCTGTCCCTCCAAAACCAAAGATGGAGAGAATGGACCCCAAGACCCCACAGATGCTCACCCAAATGTATTCACTGGCAAGGTAGGATAAACAGCATGTTCACAAATTCACTCAAACCCAGGAACACATCCTGAGGGCCTACCATGGAAATGAGCAGGGCTGACTGTCTAAAGATCCTCACCCTTTCTCAGGTAACTGTCCATGCTCAACAAATCACACCACGCAACATTTGTGGAGTTAATCAAACAGGAGACAAGGCTGTTAAACACTGCAGCCTAACTCTCACAGCTGCCTGGCCTGCAGCAGGGCTCAGCTGAGGTTAGGATGCAGGAGGGTGGGCCATTCTATCCACCCACCAGAAAGGTCATCAAAGAGATCAGTGCCGGAGAGAGGACCCCTTGGTGTTCACAGTCCCAAGCCTCAAAGATATGCACCCCCACCCTGCCCATAGCCTTAGACATGTTTCCAAGCATGTTAAACAAAGCTGCTGCCGCTGCTGTATTTACTAAAAACAAAGACTCACTCCAGAGACAGGAAGGCCTTGATTCTATGGCAATCCTTCTGTCATAGCTTCTCAAGTGCTACGATTATAGACCATGCTACGATTTGTCCATGACCAACTGGACAAATCTTCACTAAAGAACCTATGTAAAAGCTTCTAACGTAGAATCAAATGTTTGCAAACATGCCAGAGAGTTTGAGGGACTTGGGAAGCTAGCAATGGGCTACAGACAGAGAGCAACGAGCTCCCCCTAACACTAAGCTCAGTGGCCCCAACTCTGTAGGCAAAACGACTGCCTCCAGGGAGAGCAGTACCAGCAAAACTGTGTTTCTGCCTAAAACCAATTCTCGTTTGAGCTCTGGTGGGTTCGAGCCCCCCGCACCAGGCCCCCAGCTCACCGAGCCCCGACTCCGCCGCGTCCTCATGCTATGCTTCCCACTGAGCCCATCTTCCTCCTCCTTGACAGGCTTGAACATGAAGGGCGGGGGGTCCACGGGCTTCTCGATGGGTGGCAGCTCACCGTACTTCTTGAAGTGGATGCGGCAGTCGGTGCAGAGCAGGATGTTCTCCCGGCCCCCGTGGTGCCAGTCTTTGGAGGCTACATGAGGGGAGGGGCAACCCTGGAAATCACCTCTGTCTCTGAGGGCATCTGAGTCTCTAGAGGGCCCTTTTGTAGGCTCCACCTGCCCTGATTCATGAGAGCCACAGAGCATGAGCTCGGGTAGACACCTGCTCCTTAGACAACCCAAAGCCGGGGAGGAGTGTCCACTGTCCAGTCCCTTAAGATGGCAGCCACTTTGCAGGAACAGCAGGCTCCCTCCCTCCCCTTGTGTGAGTCTCTCCTACCCAATAAAGCAGTAATAGTTCTGACTGCTCAACAGGGAAGCAAAGTCAGAAAAAGGTTCAAGTTTCTCAAGCACAACCCAAGTGTCAAATCAGTCACTGTCCCCAGCTTCTTCTCTACCCAGCACATGAAATACTCTGAGCCTGGTGACCCAGAGCCCAGCCTGGCCCAGGAATGAGTGCCTGCCTCTGCACCGCGGGTGCCCAGGTCACTTACTGGTGGTGAAGCAGTGGCGGCAGGCGTACCCCTTTAGCTCCTGCTCGCTGTCTTCACTGTCAAAGTCATCCTCACTGGCTGAGCTCAGGTCCACTGCACAAGGGGAGCGAAAGTGGAGACACAAGAGACACCATCGTGTTCAGCAGAGAATGGGAGCACCAGTAAAAGAACTCCACAGACTGGGATGAGCATCGACCACAGGCGCACTCTGAATGCCCCGCCATCAATTAGAGCCAAGAGCTTGCCTGTCTGAGGCGTTGCACTATTCAAGGTCCTGCTCTGCCAGGTGCTCACGCTGGTGAATCTAAAATGGTAGCAGTATACCCACAATGCCTTCTGGGAGCATCTGAGCAGCTTGGAATTCCATCTGTTGAACCAATATGGCTTCTGGCCCTCATCAAGTATAACACAGAACCCTGGTACCCTTAGGCCAGTGTTCTGGGCTAAGTCAGAACTGCAAAGCACTCTGCTTGGTTCTAGCTCATAGGGGCCGAGACAGCAGGACCCACAGGGCCTCCCTGTCTCATCTGAATGGTACCCTGGGACTAGGAAGAGGATCTGGGTAAAGCAGACAAAAGAAGAAAGTGGAACCCTACGTCAAGCTTACATTTTGTAAAATGTAAAAGAACAGGTAAGTTTATTAGAATTATTTTAAACCCTCCCACAATTGTCAGCACTAATGTATACATATGCACACACTAATGCACAAACCACACCACACAGATCCCTGGCTCACCAAAGCTGGACACACACCTGCCTGCATGTGAGCAGTCTCTTACTATGCTTTGCAGCATCAAGAACCCCACTTACAGAATTCACTGGAAGGTGGTCTGGAAGGTGTGTTGACCGGGGTGGATGCTGTGCGAGTCTTAATTCTTCTGAACACTGCCTGCCTGCGGTGCCGGCGGTGGGCACGCGAGCTGGCTGCCTCTGGTGTCTTCTTCCAGTAGTAATAGAAGGTAATCAGTTCCCCCTGCGAGAAAGAGGGGCAGCTGTTGGTGCACAGCGCACACCCTCCTGCATCTGGAGCCGAGAGCACACAGCAATGCTCCCGGAGAAGTTCCAGGGTCCCCTCCTGCAGCCCAGCAGAGTATGACTTCCATACATCAAGAATCAAGACCACAAGAGAGACAAAAAGGACAGAAGGCTCCCACTTACTAGGGAGCCAGAGACATGCGAGTGTGCAAGCTGAGTGTGATAGGTGCACAAGACAGCAACCAAACAGAGAACACAGGTGAGCAGGTGGGAGCGAGGGCCCGGAGACAAACTGCTTTTTCTTCTTTTGTTTTTTTTGAGACAGGGTTTCTCTGTAGCTTTGGAGGCTGTCCTGAACAAGCTCTTGTAGACAAGGCTATCAGGCTGGTCTTGAACTCACAGAGATCCACCTGCCTCTGCCTTCAAAGCTACAAACTGCTTTTTCCATCTCTCTTGACCCTCTTTCAATGGCTACTTGCACAAACTAGAAGGAAATCCTAAAGAACAGGACTGGGGCCTAGCAAAAGAACACAGGGACTGACACCTGTCACATGCCAAGCGTTGGGGGGGGCAACTTAAGGGGCGGGCAGTACTGTGGCAGTCCTACCCCGAGGGGCTCCCCTGCCACCTGTCTCCCACAAAACAAAAGAGCACCGAGTTGAAGCTGGCTAAAGACCAACTTTAAAAACTAAAATTTTAAATGTATTAAAGGGCTGATTTCTTAGAAAGACCCCAAAAGAAAGTCTCTACCTCGGTCTTAAAAGAACACATCAACTAAACATTAAATCCGCACTTTAGGTGCAGGCTGCTTGACTGGTCCCGGAGCCCCCCTCACCCACTCCCTCTAATGTGTGTTATCTCATGGATGGGGTGACCAGGAAAGGAGGCAAAGCAGTTTTCTTGGGAGTTAGGTTCTAAGAGCCTGGGAGACAAGTAGGCAAACCACCATACACAAACTCCCATGACTGACAAGGCCAATCAGAACAGGCTTCACCCCAACACCAGTGGTCTCGAGTATCAGAAGCAATGAGCAGGGTTTAGACAAGGAAACTACTTCTCAAAGGCAACTGATACACATGTGCTGGAAACTTAGTTCACTCCTTCCTTCCCCACAGTGAGAGAGATAGAGAGAGAGAGAGAGAGAGAGAGAGAGAGAGAGAGAGAGAGAGAGAGAGAGAGAGAGAGAGAGAGAGAGAGAGAGAGAGAGTGTGTGTGTGTGTTGGGATTAAAGGCACGTGGCAGCCACCAGAGCCCAACACCTCATTCTCTTAACAGCTGAGATGACACGGGTAAATGTGACAATTCAAGCAACACTGTTTTGTCAACAAGTAACAGCTGTGACAGAAAAACTAAGCACCCAGAACAGATTAAACCTAGATACCATAGGTCAAGACGAGCCAGTACCTGAGCTGGGTGGAAATCATGGCTGAGACAATGAAAGAGCATAAACTTAAAATGCAAGGACTTGCATACACGGCTGGTGGGAAGATAAGGCCCTCAAAGTCACTTCACACAAGTTTGTCAGTTTCTACATGGTTAAACAAATACCACACAATCTAGAATTCTATGCCTGGCTGGTTTATCCAACAAGACAAAATGTGCCCACACAAACGCTTTCAACGGTTTTATATTATTGACGTGTAGGTGTCCTGGTGTGAGAATGCCTGTGAAGGCCAGAAGGGGGAGTAGAAGTCCCTGGAGCTGGAGACTCAGGGAGCATGCTGCACACTGCGAGTGCTGGGAACACACTCAGTCCTCTGGAAGAGCAGTCCATGCTCCTAACTAAGGCAGCTCTCTGGTCCCACATAAAGATGTTCACACAAACATTCATAGAAACATTATTTTTAATAGTCCCAACAAGAAAAAAGGATGCTTGGCCATAGGAAGCATGACTGAATTGTAAGTATCCATGGAAATGTTATCTGACAACAAAAAGGAACCAGCAGCTTATACAGTAACAGAGATAAAAAAAACCAAAACAAACAACAACAACAACAAAAAAAAACCAAAAATGAAAACAAAAACAAAAACAAAAATCACCCTGTTAAATGAAAGCCACAAGGAGAGCATGAGCTCATGATAGACAGGGAGATCTAGAACAGCAAGAAAGGCGATCCAGTGGTTGTCCAGGACCTGACCTAACCAAGTGACTATTCAGGAGGAAAATTCAAAGGCCTCACACAGATGGTGTTATTCACACAGATGTATACAGTTGTCAAAACTTAACTGACTGTATACTTAGAGTGTGGGTGCATTTATATATGCATATGAATATATGTATGAACACGAACACACACCCACACACACTAGCATATGTCAATTACATGTCAATAAAGTTGACAAAAACAGTAATAAATCCAGACCAGGTTTTATTAGCTGCCTCTCAGGGATGGCAATGGTCACTGAGGGATAAAACATGGAGGATTGGAGGCAGCATATTGCTGCCCGCATGGGTGGCTGGGTCTTGAGTACAAACAAAAGAACGTGTTGGGAAAAGCTTTGGTTCTACAAATAGGGAGTGAAGAAGCTCACAGCCTCACCAGGAACGAAGTCAATTGCACTTTAATCAAACATGCATGGTGTGCAGCAGAGACCCGATGCACATGAATCCAGGGAAGAAAAGCGGCTGCAGAAATCAATAGCTCACTGAAACATTAACACAGGCATCATTGATCAAAAGGCAGCTCCACAAAGGCAGCCTTGCAGATTAGCTCCTGCTTTTGCTTGCAAGCAAACACCGAGGTCTAAATGTTGACATGAATGGCCTATAATGATCATTTTGTTCCCAATGCTCTCACCTCACAGGTCTCACAGCCAATGCGTGTGACATCAGATGCAGTAGCTATACACACACTACAAGGTGCTAAAGCAACTCAGAACCTGGGCCAAAAAAAAAAAAAAAAAAAAGGAGGGGGGGACAAAGCCACCTCCAACTGCCAGAGTCACAGACCTTAGCTCCTGTCCAGTGCTGACCCTACCTGTCTGTGCTTCCCACCTGTCTCTCCTACCAATTCCTCCAACCTCCACCCCCCACCCTCTCTTTTTTTGCAGAGGGGAGCTGGGTCACGGGCAAAGGCTCCTAGAAGCAGGGGATCAACGCAATAGAAATGTCTTTCTAGGATATACATACAACAGGTTGGGTGTGTGTGTGGGGGGGGGGTACTGTTGGATTCCAGTGACATTTCTGTAAAAGGAGGCACGGGGAAGGCAGTGCCATACAGAGAGCATGGACGGAGCAAAGGGCAAGGGGCAGCTTAGGGCAGCACTCCCTCCTAAGGAGTCGGGCACTTAAGAGTCAGCAAAGCTGTGGGGAAACGGCTCCGGGGCTGCCTGCCTCATCCCCTCAGCACTTGACTTTAGCCCTTTGAGTCTATAAAGTTTACTCACAAGGGATCCCAAGCTGCCTGTGCAGTCTGCCCAAGCGATGGGGGCTAGAGTTGCTCCCATCTTGGAGCTAGCCTAAACTCATTTAAGGACAAGTTCTGCTGCTGTGACAAAACAGCAGGCTGAGTGTCCATGTCCCTGGCAGACAAACAAGGAGGCTGAGGTGGAAGCTGGCATCTGTGTGGCCAGCACTGGCCTGCCTACCTCCTTGCCTTACAGGCAGGTCTCTGCCTACCCACTGGCATGTATTTGGTAAACTCCAGTACTTGGTTAGTTCACTTCCATCAGTCACTGCAAAGCCGAGAGATTTGTAACTTGTCCTGCTCAATTAAAACATGGTTCTTTTTAAAGGTAAGATGCACTCACTGCCCGTCTTCTCTGTCCTTAGGGGCCCAGGGAAATGGTTAGAACAGAATGCTGAGGAGGTGAGGCACTGGGAGCATCTAAAATACCAAAGCCCACCCTGCCCTCTCTTGAAAACAGGGTCTCTCTGTTAGCGCCAGCTGCCCCCAATCGCACAGACTCAGCCTACCACATGCTGGAACTGAAGGTGCGAGCAACCAGACCTGGCCTCCATGGTTAAGAAGAGCACCTACCCCCCCTTTCCCATGCCCCACCCCTGCCACACACCCTGGCTCATCCCCTGCCCTGTCCCTGCACTTTTCTTATGCCTTAGCTTGGCACCAACTACTCCCCTGTTCGTCTCTCTCATACTCTTTCCACCCCCCACCTAACCCTTCTTACTTCCCAACAGAGGTATGAGCCACTGCTCAGCCAAGCCAATGGTGTTGGCTCCATATTAAAAGCCTACAGGTATAAGCAAAGTCGGGCAATTGTAAGAGAAAATTATAGCATTATAATCAGTATGTTACCCAGAGAGGTCAGAGAGTGGTATAAGGTGGGGTCCAGGAGCCTGGAGGGAGTCTCACTGGGGAAGGACTGGCTGTTCTTCTCCCAGGAGAGCAGGCTTTAACACTCAGCACCCACGTGCCGGCTCATCACTGACCCAACACCTCTTCTGGCCTTCTGGGGCACCATGCATGCACATGGTACACAAACATACATGCAGGCAACACATCATGTACATAAAATAAATTAACTGAGAAGAAAGACGGGGCAGCTGGGCGTGGTGACAGATGCAGGTGTATGCCTGTGAGTTCAAGGCCAGCCTGGTTTACAAAGCTGGTTCCAGGACAGCCAGGGCTGTTACACAAAAAACAAAGCAAAGAGACAGAAAAAGAGAGGAATGAGGATGTGGTTTCCTGGCCCCCAGCACCGACAGTTCACTCCCAGGGCTTCTCTGTGTGTGCTAGAGACAGGGCAAAGCAAGCGTGGGTCAGAGGAATCTTGTCCCACTACCTTCCATTCTGACATGGCTGCAGGGCCGAGGGAAGAACGTGGAGGGCCGATGGCGCTGCAGCTAGAGAGCCTCTTGTGCGCTCCTCTGCGCTCTAACGCTGGCGGCACAGAGAATTCCCACACACGGACGCCTTACTGTGGCCACCTGGACATGCTGGGATTCAGTGTTGGGGACTGAGCCCAGGGCTTCTTGCTTGCCAAGCAAGCACTCTGTCAACTGAGTGGCATCTCCATCCCTGAAATCTTTAAGACATA